TCAGTCTTCCAGAATCACCTAAGGTCAATAACATGGAAAATCACCTCCAGAATCTGACAGTTCTAATCTAGCTTACCTTTCTCTCTTAGCAAATACGATGGCTTTAATGGGATCTTAGAAAATTAGCACTGGAGAGAACCTGGGCCTCATCTGGCACCACCTTCTCATTTCCCAAACAAAGAAACTGAGACCCATGAAAGCAAAGCAACTTTCAAAAGCAAAGCATTAGGCAAAACAACCCCTGATCTCTCCAACAACCAGCTAGGGCTTTGGTTTGAGTGAAGTACTTTCGTTCATGAAGAGTAATTAATAATTACAGAAAACAGGGAGAAACAAGCACCACAAAAATATAATCTTCTACAAAAATCATAAAATAGTCCTAATATATGTTTTCATATATGGTCTTCTTCTTAAAAATATCAAAGTCCTAACAATATAATGCCTTTACCAATAGTACTTCTCTGAATCATCTGGCAGGATATATAAATATTTCCCTTGCCTCTCTCTCTCTAATGATAGAATAGCAAAACAGTAATACGCTCAGACAGTGCTGATAGAAATCATTTAACCGATAAAGAAATGAGAAAGGAGGGGAAGAATTTGAAAATAGCTCTTTAATTTTGTTTGAAGGCATTTTCCTTATGAAAATTAGTATTTCTCCAGAGTGGAATAATTTCCTATTTAAAGCTTCAGTTGACTTGGCCTGGTTATAATGTGAAAGAGATTCAGACTGCTTATTGAAGGGGATTGCACAGAACCAAATCCAAACAAAGCAGAATTCCCTTTGAATTGTTCCATCCAAGTTTCCTTGGTCCAGATGGCTTCGATCACCAGCCAGAGACTCCACCCACACCTTCCCACTCCCGCTGTGCACTGGCCCTGGACACATACTAATGACCCTCAGCTGTTCTGGCTCCCAAACTCACTTTCTCTTCCTGCCTGGCCACCCAACCTCCTATCTCCTACAGAGAGAAAGGAAAGAGGGAAAGGGAGACACTTAGGGAAAAAAAAAGTCATACCTTTGGGTAAATAGGATTTATATTAGTGGAATCAGTTCCTAATTGCTGCTGTAACAAATTACCCCACACTTAAAACAACACACACTCATATTCTGGAGGTCAGAAATCCGACATCGTCTTAGGGAGTATGTTTACGGGGCTGCATTCCTTCTAAAGGTACTAGGGGAAGATGTGTTCCTTCCCTTTACCAGCTTCTGGATGCTGCAGATATTCCTTGGCTCATGGTCACCTCATCCTGATCTCTGCTTCTGCCATTACATCTCCTCCTCTGACTCAGATGCTCCTGCCTCCCTCCTATAAGGATCCTTGTGATTTTACCGGGCCACTCAGATAAATTTCTGCAGGATAATTTCTGCATCTCAAGATCCTTGATTTCATCACATATGCAAAGTTCCTAATCTAACATAATCACAGGTCTTCATATTAGGAGGTGGACATTATTCTCTTCGTTCTTTCTCTCACATCGGCTAACATCTAATATCAGGTACTACAAAGCTATACCTATATTTAATACATAAAATCTTATACGCACACAAACATATACGTGTACTGAATAGGATGAGATAACAAGTCTGTTAGAGCTGAAATAAAAGTCATAGAGTAATATCCAAGATTATTGTATCAGGCTTATTACAACTAATTTCCAGTACTTTGTTCATGGCAAAATATTTAAAAAGGAAAAAAAAAAAAAAGCACACTAGAGCTGATGGCCTGTGAAGGGCTTGCTTACCACTCACCTCCATATCCTGCCCAGGGCTTCTCACCACTAAAAAAAACCAAAGCCCAAATAATTTAGTAGTGCGGTCAGTGGAGCTCTGTCTCATTACCAAGGCAGCATGTCACGTGTATTGGCCTTGGAGTGGGACAGCACCATGGCTGCCAGTAATAGACAGAGTAGGTCCCAGGAAAGGTAGGGGTCTTCAGACAGAGGAGGGGTCACATTTATAAAACGCCTCCCACCCAGCATGATTAGGGGACAACTCACACAGGGTCTCAGGCAGTATCTTCAGTGGGACTAAGGAGGTGCAGTGAGGGAATGCAACCAAGTCACATGACACTTTTAAGTTAAAGTGAGAAAAAGGCTGGGATAGAAGGAACCACGCGGAAAATGCTGGCGTGTAGCAAGAGTTAAGGATAAAGGCAAAGAGGAGATGTTAATTTAGAACCTATTCGTTTCATTCAATTCAAATAGAAGCAATCTGATGATAAATTTTTCATCTTCTTTCCTGCAAATCACCACGCTGGCCACTTCTGTCCTTATCAGCTTGGCCTTCTACCCCACATAAAGGTTCAACTGTCCATACTATACCAACGCCTTCCCACCTACCTAAGGATTTTCTTCCTGCAAATATCCTTTATCTCCCAAATCACTGATTTTTTTCCCCTTCTGCTCATTTTCATCATCATAAAACCATAACACTTCCCATCTTTTAAAAGACCCTCCTTTTATCCCACAAACTAACCATGCACCTGCTCTATTTATCTGATCCTCATTCTACCCCTCAGAAAAAGCTTCCATTATTCAGTCATCGTTTTCTCTCACACTGTCTCTTGAACCCATTTCAAGCCAGCTTTTATACCCACCCTCTGCAAACCCCATTTGTCAAGGGCCTCAACACTGCCATAGAGTAAATCCAGTGGTCTAGGCACAGAGCCCATTTTTCTCAGCATCTTAGTAACAATGACACAACTGAGCACTCCCTTCTTGAAATGCTTTCTTCTCCAGGCTCCTGGATGGAACCCTCTCCTGGTTTTCCTCCTACTTCACCTGGTCTTTCTTTCCCAATTTCCTTGGCTGCATCCTCATCCTCTTTTTCCTCTGAAGACAGCCTGAGGTTCAGTCCATTGCCCCCTTCCCTTCTCCACTTATCTGTGACCACCCGCTAAATGATCTCATCCACTCTGGTGGCTTTAGATAGGTCAATCTACATGCTAAGGAGTCCCAACTGTGTATTTTCATTCTCAAATATATTCTTGAACCCAAGATTCCTCTCTCCAGCATCCTACGGGACTCTAGGGGCATATCCCAGAAGACAACGAGGCATTCTCCCCCACTGCTGTCCAGTTCAGCAAGCTGTTCACCCAGAGATCCTCTGAGTTTTCCCTGACTCTTTCTCTCACGCCCCACATCTAATTTGACACACTTCTGGCCAGCTTTACATTAAAAAACAATCCAGAATACTACCACTTATCTTCCCTTTCACCACTTCGCTCTAGTCCAAGACACTTTTACTTCTCCGTTAGAACTGTGAAATAACCTGCTTCCACTCTTGCCCTACATATTCTACTCTCCACCTGATATTTATATGTATCTTTCTAAAACATAATCCAAGCCAAGTCACTTCCTATCCCAAAATTCCCAAAAGCATTGCCATCACATGTAGAACGTATTCAGGTGGGTCTGTTGAGCAGTGCCGCCCCAATCACCCAGCAGCTCCTCAGCTCTCCACAGCGTCGTTTGGTCACCATCTTGTGTCCTCTTCAGACTCCCTTCTTTGACAGTCTCTCTCTAGAGAGGTTCACCTGTATATTTAACACTTTTCCCACACAACACTGGCATAAAAGGCTGCAACACATCACTACTTCTTCAAAAGTTGGCTGTATTTTTGTATTAAGTCTGTCAGCAAACCTCTCTCAGGGAATAACAAGCTCCTGTATAGTGATGGTTGGGGTACTGATGGTTTAACCATTAGGCTGTGGTTCCTTCATTCCTTAAACATTACTGACTCACAATACAAACCTTTCCATCTTTCATGGCAAGAGGTTAATGTCTCATGATAAAGAAAATCCCTTAGGTGTACCTGGGTGCTTCAGTCAGTTAAGCATCCAACTCTTGATTTCGGCTCAGGTCATGATCCCAGGGTTGTGAGATCAAGCCCTGCATCAGGCTCCACACTGAGCATGGAGCCTGTTTAAGATTCTCTCTCTCTCTCTGCCCCTCCCCACTCTTCCTCTCAAAAGAAAGACTCTTAGGAAATACTTTTTTGGTGACAATTATTTAACATTTAAAGACAAATTCCTAATGTTTATTTACTGTTATAAACATGTTGAGAGCTGAACTACCTGAAAATATTTGCCTAGAATGCCTTCAAGTAGATTTGCTTTATATTTCCTTAATTCAAAAATGTTCTTAAAGTTCTCTTGAAACTTGGAGGATATTAGTTTTTTCAGATTATAAGTATATTCTAGTGCATATATGTCCTTAGGAAATATCTCTTTTAAAAAGATTTCTTTTGAAAACTTTCATAGACATGAAGGGAAAAGATAAAAGATTTCTGAACCTAGCTCTTCATCAATACTCACTGGACAACTTCTTAAATGTAACAAAGATGTATGCAATTTTGGAGTAACTCGCCTATTAAGTGACTAGAACTCTGGTTCTATTGACCAAGCCAGGCTTAATGTTCTCTTCTGTTTAAGTAAACTTCAGTCAGGCTTCTTCCTGATTCTAAGCCCCTGACCTCCCTTTTCTTAGAGCATTCACTCCAGAAAATTTGTAATTATAAATTCTTTCTCTGACCCTTTGAGTGGCAAACCTTTTTAAAAGCTTCTCAGTTTTACAACTATCAAGGAATGTCTTTCTTAAGGACCTAGGAGCCATCCCTTTGAAATACAATCATCCAGAAAGATAAGTACCCAGATCTTCCAGTCTCTGTAAGATGGTAGAACCCTAACTTTGGTGAGTGCCAGTTAGCAAAGACAGATGGCCTAATCACAGAGGAAAACATGTGCCAAACTCAGGATAACTCAATTTGCTCCATCCCATTGATCAACAGCCTAAAGTCCTCCAGTACTTTTCCACTAGCTCCCGCCAGTACTCAAGAACCCTCCATTTCTTTGTTTCAGTGAGTGGAGTTCAATCTCTCCCTATTACAGTAGTCTTAAATAAAGTCTCCCTTGCCTGTTTAACTTAGCCCAGTGCAATTTCTACTTTGACACCATAATCCCAGTACTGGAGATGACTAAGCTTTCAGTACTCACAGGCTTACCATCTTGACCAGATTGTCCAGGGTAGCCAGGGTCCCCAGGCTGTCCAGGTTCACCCTAGAAAGGAAAAAAAAAATTCTCAGTCCAAAACAACCAACCACACTGCTGCTGTCAGAGCCCTTCAAGGTTCAAGCTAATTCCATGATTTGTAGCTCTTTGTATATTTAAGAAGAAGAACAAGAAAGGAGGAGGAAGAAGAAGGAAGAAGAAAAACAACAACAAGAGACATCCCAAAATAGGGTTAGAAAAGGAATGGCATATTTTAAATGCCCACTTTACCAAATAAAGGCTTTTTATTACATAAAATTTTCAATGATTTATTTCTGTGAGCACACCAGGTATAACAAGTAACATACTCTTCACCAATGTAAAATGTCAATATTTATGTCAGGATACAGTTTTAGAATTCTGAAGTGCTGTAGCAAATATGGTCTCAATGCCAGCCATTTTTCTCTCATAATTCTCTTCTATTTAGACTTAATTCTATTCTCAGCGTTACAGGACAGATATCAATGACCTATGATGTAATAATTCAATTTGCAATTATTTATTTAAAAAAGTCCACAGGCTATATGATCTTACACATAGGACTCAAGTTTAAAGGTGCATGACAGTCATTTCTTTTATTCTAGTCAATGTGTCTCTTTGCCTCTATTTATAACTTTATTTAACATAATGTTAAAATTTTTAAATCTGAGTATTTATATGAGAGTGAGGCCCAAGCCAGACAACTCTGCCCAACCCCCATAGTCCTTGAACACAGGGACTAAGAAATGAAGAAATGACCTTTGCCCCCCACAAACCAAGGATGTCCAAAGAACATTAAACCATACAATATGACAATTAGCCCAGTCACATTCTATGAAACTCTAGTATGTTGCCCCATGGACAATACTGACCATTCGGATAGTCATCATCCATGAAAAAAAGCAATGAAAGCAACATTTTTCGTGAGGTGAGGGTGTTGTATAATTCTAAAAAATACTTCAAAAATTAATATATTAATCTATTGCTGAATCCATGAGATCCACATGGGGCATCTTGCTTAAAAACATGAAGTCTCAGCCATCAGTACCAGTAAACTTCTGCACAGAGGCAAGGCAGCTGATTTCAGTTCAATAAGTCATTATTTACATTAAGAACTCATTCACACAGGACCCCAATAATTATAAATTAACTAAAGACCAAAACTAAGGGTACTTTCACAGAGCCAAATCTGAAGATCTGAAATACTACTTCAGGTTACTGGCTACGGAGAGTTGTTCCTGAAACATAACAGGAAAAATGGAAAGAACTATGTGAACTCTATTAAGTGGCCAATGAATGGGGGTTGGGCTTTTCACTTAGGAGCTGCCCAAGAGACAAAGCATGGGGAAGGGCTGAGAAGAAAGGAAATGTTATTTTTAAAAGAAGTAGAGAAAGAACAGTGTAAATCCACGGAGAAATATAATGCTGAAACATATCCTGTCTTGCTGAAGAAACAGAATTTATAGTTCTAACCCAAGGACTTCCAGTGTTAGCTAGGCAATAAGGAGTAACATTCTGGTTCTCTAGGGAGTTGGAGTTTTTCTCTTATTTTGAGAGGATCCACCTTAATCTCTAGCCTCTCTGCCATCCTTTATCCCTGTTCAAATTGGACTCGCTTTTTTTTTTAAGATTTTATTTATTTATGTATTTGACAGAGAGAGAGAGACACGTTCAGAGAGGGAACACAAGCAGGAGGAGTGGGAGAGGGAGGAGCAGGAATGAAGGAAGGCTTCCCGCTGAGCAGGGAGTTCAATGCAGGGCTCAATCCCAGGACTCTGGGATCATGACCTGAGCCAAAGGCAGAGACAATGACTGAGCCACCCAGGCACTTGCTATCTTTCAGCAGATTCCATCTTCTCTTCCCCTGACAGGAAGTTTTTCTTCCTTTTCCACTTAAGAATCCATTATTCCTTTTTTCCTTGATGTCTTTTTCTACTGAAATGCTATAGCAGCTCCTATCACTGATCCCTTATTCATAAGCAGTTTTCTCAGTTTTCCCTTGATTAGTCTTCATTTATCATTTGGATTGAAACTTCTCGAAAACAGAGTATTTTCTCCCTTTTTTGAGGGGATAGGAAGGGTTGATAATGCTGCGTATCAAGTAGGGATTCAGTAACTATTTGTGGATTGATTTATTTTAAATCATATTTCCTGTTAATGACCCCCTTTACTTGCAGAGTATTATTATCAGCAAAATCTAGTATATCAAAAGTATCTGAGAGGATTTATCGTCTACTGTGATGAAGCTGGAATACAGCTTTGGTAAAAGAAGAAACGAAATTTGTGTTTTAACACTGCGTCAAAATACAAAACATATTAACATTTTAAATAAATAGAAACTAAGCTTCCAAGACAAAAAAAAAAAAATCACTCACAAGATAAATCCAATGTGACTTCAAAAGAACCATAACATTGGTGAACAGCCCCAAGAAGGAAAATAATCTCTTTTGCAGGTTCTATTATTGCTGGTAGGTTTTACTGGTTATTCTGACTATTGCCCTGTTGATTTATTTGCAAAAACCGAGGAAGGTTTGGTGTTGTTTCCATAAAATTGGGAAAATAAAGACAGACTAATTTTTGAGAGAAGACCAATCAGAATAAAAATTCAATTGTATTACTGTAATAAAAGTCAATGCTCTATCTTGACTGTTTATTATATGTTAAGCACTGCTAAATTACTTAATCCTCATAATAATCCCATGAAGTAATTTTATTATTCTCATTTTTTATATAGGAAAACTGAGGCCCCAGAAGTGTAAGTCACTTGTTCAAGGTCACACCGCAGTAGTGGAGATGACACTTGAACTCAGCCAATTCAGCTCCAGAGTCCATGCTCCTAAACACTACTATCCCTGCCCACATTAAAATGCATACACTTATTAGAACCAGACCTGGGGACTGTTAGCAAACTTAATACAGAAAACAATTTCCAAATACATTAAATGAGACATAGGACCTATTATTGTACAATTGTGACTAAATTCCCAATCCACTTTCTTCTAATTTAGTTGAAACATTTGCACATTTTGAATTTTAAAAACTATGTGTTCAGCTGAAAAGCAGTACTTACATATGTTGAATTGAACTTGTGCCACAGGATTTTTGAGTTGTTGACAGGAGTGGAAATGTCATGGACTAAGCTGAAACATCTCTGAATATGGCCTCTCAAGTAGTGTCAATACAAATAATCAAAGTAAGAAACACTTGTGCTTGCAAAAGCAAGCTGATATTTTCAGTTGCTCATCTAAAACAAATGTCTTTGGAACTCTTCACCTAGGCCCAAATCCCATGTGTTCAAGCTCTCTTCTCAAAACTCCTTGTGCCTTCATTCTACCCTCTGGACTCTGCAGGAGTATCTGACCTAAGACCTATTCCCTTTTCCTAAACCATGCTCTTCCCTCCCTCAAAACTCAAACACCCACTCTCTCAGGCTAGAAGGAATCCACTTAGTCTGGGAAAATTAACATAAAAATGTGAATGCCCAGTGGCCCCTGAAATTTTCCAAAGGCTTTTGTATTTTAAACAGAGGATACTTTGATAGCCTGAATGAATCTCTAAGGGTGGTATCTGGAGGGTGAAACAAAGGAAATCAACAGAGATACAGTGATAGAGAGGGTGGTATTTCAGAGAAAAGGATTCATAAGAAATTGTTCCTTCCTAGAAAGAAGAAAAAACGCCTTCTTTCCACTTCAGAAACAATAGATCTAACATCAAGGTTAGATCAAATGTGGGGAGTTTGTCCCCACAAACGTTCCTACTACTGAAGTGGGGGGAAGAAGTTGCCATTCACATGAAAAGGTCCTTTGAAAGGGGGGTTTGTAAATTGGGGATTGCCTGGATCTTTCATATCACAACAAAGCCATCTCATATAGGTTAACTGGGAAAAGGGGTGAATCAATGATTTTATAATTCATTAAATAAAAAATTATTACCATTAAGCACTGTGTTAGACATTGGAATTCCAAAGGAGAATTTAGTTTGTATTAAACTTCATTGTGAACTGCTTGCATATATAAAGTATTCCAACAGATTTATTAATTTAATCACTCCCTATGTTTGATATTAGAGATACAAAATGAATTAGCTCTTCTTCAAGGAACTCATAATCCAGTAATATATATATTTCTATGCCTGTTGTAGAGTTATAATGCCATGGTAAGTCTAAGTATAGGAAACCAGAGTTATTTTGACCTGTTTTTCCAATAGGGTTGTCATATCTTTTGGAAACTCAGAGAATTTTAAACAGATGAGTTTATCTTTGAATAAGCACTGACCTACCTATCCACACAGCAATTTCTCCTGTTTCAGTCTGAGGACTCAACTCTCAGCTCCCAGAACTCTATTTCTGGTTAACAGGAAGACGAGATCTGTTCTTCACAGGTAACTTTGTTTGATGGACATCTGTAAAACTTTCCAGAGAGCATCTAACAAAAATGGCCAATAAGCCTCAGTTGGATCTATAGGAAAATGGCCTCATCTATTTTAGTTCCAGTTCTGCTAATCTAATTAAAACCCTGTTAATTCCCCAAGCCAGAAATTCTCTAAAGGAAATACAACTCAGAGTGTTGCTAGGGATTCTGTTTTTCACATACAGGTCCCTGATGTGGGTAAGGAACCACCTCCAGGGGAAAGAGCCCTAAAAGGATGGAAGAGAGAGAGAGAGAGAGAGAGAGAGAGTGTGTGTGTGTGTGTGTGTGTTCCTGTCCTCCAGCCAGATTTTCTGAAGAAAATGGAAAGCAGATCAAGAAGGCACGCCAATTTGAAGATTGGTGGAAAACTGCAATTTCACTTAAAGTAGTAGGTGGCAATAGCGTGAGATTATGACTAAGAAAAAAAAAAAAAGAAAATGAAAATGAGGAACACATGACACTTGGAAATACTCGATATCAGAGGCTTGACCAGAGAAGACAAAAGGTGTGCTAAGAATCTGCTGTAGGAACATACATGAATAAAAACTGATGTCACTTCAAGACACCTAATAGACCACTAGTAAAGATTCAGAAAACATCAGATGTATCTGATGCCTCCCCAAAAGTAAACAGCCTTTTAGAGATTCTGGGGGTGATGTGAACCTCCCTGGGAGTCAGAAAAGCATGCGGGGCTTTGAGAGGTCAGACATTATGTGCACCTGATTTCCATATTATCTCTTACAGATCAAATCATTTTTATGTATAATATTCCAAGTGGAATAAACTATATGTGTGTGTGTGTGTGTATAGATGTGTGTAGATATATGTGTATATAAATATATATTTTTTAAAAAGAAGTCTGCTGGTAGATCACACCAAGTTGTCTCACAAGGTGTACTCTTCCAGTAGTATCCTATAGGCATTTCTTCTTTATGTCAAGGCACCCGAAATAACATGGCAGTTGCTTTAACTAGAGAACAAAGAACACCTTGATTAACTTTCCTAAATGCGATCTAAAAATAGTTTATAATAGTAAATTGATTTTAATATACTGAAATCAAATTCCCAGCCAAATAGATTTACTTTGAATGAAATAATGAATATATACTTTTATTTTTTAAATTACATTTCTTTTCTTGATTTTAATGCAAGGCCTGAAGTAGGTCATGAGCTATCACATAAAAATGTGATGAGCATAATTGGGTGTTATATGCAACTGATGAATCATTGAATGCTACATCAGAAACTACTGATATACTCTATGTTGGCTAATTGAATTTAAATAAAAAAAATGGAGGGGAGAAACATGCATGAAAGATGGGAGAAAACAAATTATCTTAGATGAGCAGTTTAAAAGCTAAACTTTTCAGTCATGGTGACTGAAACACTAAGGAAATTCTATCTAAATGAACATTACAATTCATAGTTAACAAAAATTAGTAATTATTGCTTGGACACCTCAAGCAATAAATGATCAATACATAAAACACTCTTTTTGGCTAGGGAGTCATATCTGCTTCCAAGTTAGACATTATTTTTATCTAAGTAGGGTATTTTAAGATAATATTAAATGAATAAGATTTAGGAGCGCCTGGGTGGCTCACTCAGTTAAGTGAACAACTCTTGTTTTTGGCTCAGGTCATGATCTCAGGGTCGTGAGATCAAACCCTGTGTTGGGCTGAGTACTTGGCAGGGAGCCTGCTTAAGATTCTCACTCTCTTGCAGCCCCTCCCCCCCCACTTATTCAAGCTCTAAAATAAATAAATAAATCCTAAAAAAAAAAATGAGCAAGATTTATGTATAGGAGACAAACCACTTAGTATCTCAGTACCAACCCGGGTCTAAGTGATCCCACAGTAAGTATCAACTTAAAAACAGTCATTCATACTTAATAGCATAGAAACATATTCAGATTATTTAGTTATATAAAAAATAACTAGTTATAAAATGGCATGCACATCATGGCTCCAATCATATAAAAATGTATACACAACTATGTAAATGTTTATATACACAAACTCTATACACATAAATTAATAGATACAAGTGGAACACGTGCATATATGAACATGACTAACAAGAGAACATACTCCCTAAAAGTAATTATTACATGATTAAGTAAAATTGATATATATGCCTCTATTTTTAGAATTAGACACCAAACATAACACTGAAATCAACTTTAATATTTCTATTTTATTTTTCTATCTGAGAATCATTTTGACAAACCAAGGATTTAGAAACATATCTCAACAAATGCCATTGCTTCATTTTTTAATGAGGTTGTAAGGAGGTATCATTCTGGGAATTTGGCAGCAGTGTTTGGGTAAAAAAAGATAAACCAGCAAATAAATTAATAACACTCCCCTCCCTCACTTTACTGTGGGCCAAGGGTATCAGTTCTAGGTTCAAAAGCAAGTATAGATTGGAATACATTTTTTTATTTTATTTTTTTATTTTTTTTTAAAGATTTTATTCATTTATTCATGAGAGACAGAGGGAGAGAGAGAGAAGCAGAGGGAGAAGCAGGCTCCTGCGGAGCAGGGAGCCCGATGCGGGACTCGATCCCAGGACCCCGGGATCATGACCTGAGTTGAAGGCAGACGCTTAACCATCTGAGCCACCCAGGCGCCCCTGGAATACACTTTTTAAAAAAAAATCACTAAAACTAAGGTTTTAAACTGTTCTAAGGCATTACATAGAAATTTCACAATAGTGTAAGTGGTGACTAGGAATTTTGTGCATTTGCTCAGCTCTTGTGTGTTTTAACCAAAAAAAAGAAAAAAAGCAAGTTCGGTATGACTCACTTTGGGGCCTTGTAGTCCTGGCTTTCCTGGAGGACAGAAACAGGGAGCTGGGGTTGAACCTACATCACTGGGACCATTGAGGCACTACAGAGACAAAAACGGAAATCAACAACAAATATGGAAAGACACATGTATATCTATATGTACATATGTGTAGGTGTCTGCATGTCTTTATGACACTGTAAAGATATCTTACATCTGCTTTCCAATTTTATTTAGCACAATCCATTAAGAACTTCTGAATCACAAAAAGCTATGAAAACTAAATGCACTCAGACTACATAAAAATGAGTTCTATTTGTTTAATGTACTTACAGTTGATGGAAGGAAGTTAACAGTCCCACAATACAAATATTACCTTAAGGAGAATAATAGTTTCCAGGCCTACCTCACCATTCTGAAAGAAAAACAACAATGAATGTGTTTTAAAGGACGCTTTTAAATTTCTAAATTATCTTCCTAATTTATAGATATTTTATTGTCCAGGTTCTAGATACATAAAGTATCAAAACCAGCAAGAACTAAAACATGTACGTGCAAATGACCTAAAAAAATGACATTAATACATGTTATAATGACATTTACAGTAGAATAAAGTAAGGACATGAACAACAATGAAGAGCAGAATGAGAAAATGGAAATGCCAAAGCTGCTTGGTGTAATGGCCACGCAGGAGCAAAAATACGCCAGGGTGAAATTTATATGCTCTTTTGAACTTTCTGGAAGTTATATGAAAACCAGAGGAAAAAGCCAAAACATATCTAAGAAAGTCACAAATTCCATGCATTAAATTTTCTGCATTTTACTTTAGGAGACCTCTTCACTAAACAATTTGCTTCTTACTGAATAATACACGATTTTAAAAAGGTTAATAATCTTTCCAGACAATAAAAATTAGATCAGAAAATGGGAAAGTGGGAATAAAGATGCAAAAGGTAAGCTACATGAAGTCACACCTGAAAGTAAGGAAGGAGAAATAAAAACACAAAAAAAAGTGAATGTGAGAACTCAAAATCCACTATCTATTCTTGTGCTTTTATGATGTGGGAGGGTAATGGTCATAACATCAAGGCAGAAATATCAATAAATAAAGTATATAAAATGGACTTTCAGAATGTAATCACATATTAATACTTTTAAGAGAGATTAGAGGTCTGTATTTCAAGTTATAAGTACCTAAAAGTTAAAGTGTTTAAACAATTACCTCTCTAAAAGACCAAGAATGAATCATTTCTAAAAGGTTCCATGGTTGATATTATTATAGAGCATTTAAACATACTACCCTACGTCCTCAAGTTTTCAGAACATGTGGATTTGTAGGTTATTCAGTTTGATAGGAAAAAAAGAAGATGATGGTAGTATGACTTTACAAACTAAAAGAACTATGACATGAGCTCAAAGGTCACTGGGAATCCACACTGTAAAAGGTTTAAAACATCCTATCTTATTTGCATTACAAAAATATACCTTTTTTTTTGCCCTAGGGAAAAAGGACCACACACACACACACACACACACACACACACAAGCACACATATATTATCAGACTCTAACATTTTAGCTTATAATTTTTTCCTCCTAACACGTTAATGAAAATAGCTACATAAATGGAAAGTTACTATATCCTTGAAATACAAGAAAATCTTCCTTAGGTAACAAAAACAAAAAGAAACCTGTATATTCATTATGGTTTGAGAAAACATGTTGGTGAACAGGAAAATGAATCACTTCCTATTCTTTAGAATTGTGCTGTGTGGGATATTCTGTCCACATATTTAATTAAGTATAGAAATGTATTTTACACTCCGGATACTCTGGATATTCAAAGAGTCCTAGATTTTCCTAGAGCAGGTCCAGTCCTGCTTCACTTGAGTACCGGAAACATCACACTCTGAGGTGTGAAGAAAACATTTCCTTGTGCTCCTCCACTCACACTTGCACAGTGATACATTATCATTTTATTTCAATTATGAACATCAAAGTATGTTTTAATCAATGTAACTTTAATTGCACTGACAACAAAGAAATTAACTCTGTATATTAAATTAAGCCTCACATATTATATGACTTTTATTTATTACTCTGAAAGTACTGAAGGAAACACTTGGGAGGAAGATTCCATCCTACTCACAAATCCAGGAATCTCGCATGCTGTCTCTCGGTTGTTCTGTTCTGGGTTACAGTAGATTCGCAACTTCTGGACATCAAACTAGGAACATAAACCCCATCAGGTTAAAATTGAGGCCCAAGCTAATTGCTTCATAAGAGCGACCCAACTACATGAGCAGTCATGGAAGGCTTAAATCACAGCACCTAGCTAAAAAATAATAATACGAAATTTAAATGCCTAATATACAGTTTAAAGATGTGATGCAACATAATTCATGAGGAAAACTCTAGCACCAAAAACAAAACTTTAATTTCCTTCGGGAACCCACTGGGGCTTTTTTAGTATCACTATTTTAAAAGCTAGCCTAGAGAGCATCTCCTAGGACACTTAAAAGTTTTCCCGGGCCTTCTGTGTTTATCCTAAATGTCTACAACATTTCTGATTACAAAAGAGTGAGCTTAAGAAGTCATCTTTAGTTTCAGAGATTTAGTTGCTGGCATGGAGTGTTGTGTGATGAGTAGTCCAAGCACCTGTTGCTATTTAAATATTTACTATACTCTGACATGTAACATTAATATAGAGAGAGCATGGTGTAATTTGAATATGACAGTCTTCCCTTAATAGAAAGAGTGGGAAAGTATACATTTTCAAATAAGGGATTGTCCAAGAAATGGCTATCTTTTTATAAACACATTTCTCAACCCACACATAGATACTTCACTTTTTAAAAAATATAAAAAAGTAACAGTTTTAAGAATCCTGGAATGCATTAATCCGATTGTAACCTCACAGCTGCAGAGAAATTTTATAGCTCCCAACTCACAGCTCTAATCACAGTCTCTTTTCCAAGTTATTATTTAATCTATGCTTCTCCTGGGAAATATGAAATTAATGTTCCATAAGAATGTAGAATTCTATCCTGAACCCAGGGGAACAGTTTTCTAAGAATTCCTATAAAATCTATTAAGTCTAATTTTGTGTTTTCATACACACACTCAAACACACAATTCCACTAATAAACTGATCACATTTTGTTTAAGTGTCTTAAAGGAATTAATAATTAAGTTAAATACAGTTAAATGTGATAAATACTATCACAAAGGACAGCAAAAGCTCACTTTATACAATGCAAAAAGCAAATCATTTTTATCCACCTGAACAGTTTCTTCTTTCCCAGAATACTTTCCGATTTGAGTTTGCCCGCTGATGAAGATCCCTAAAACTGGATGTAAGGGCTTGTTTTCAATTTGTTGATCATCAATATACAGAGTTACATCTTGTTCTGTTACTAAGAGACGAATCTGATGCCAGCCTTCATCAAATAATGTCTACAGGAAGAAAGTATGGAAGATTCATAAGTAAAATTCCTAATAATCTTTCTTTTTCTTTGTTCCCATTCCTTTGCTGCCAACCATAAATCCACACCACACAGACTGGTTGTATTATATACTAATTCACCCTGATCCAAGCTGGGTCTCAAATTCTACCCACCAATTAATTTATGAAGCCCTACTTTCCATTACATATCCATTACATGTAAGTAGATGTATCAAACAGTTTATTGAAACAACTCCCTCAAGGTCACAAATGAATTCCTAATCTCTGAATCCAAGTGGCTTCTCCTATTCCTCATCCTATTTACTTCATTGCAACTTTAGATCCTTAACTAGTCCATCTTCCTTGATATTCTCATTCAACTTCCATGACTCAAACCATCTTGATCATCTTCATTTCTTCTTCTCCAATTGCTCATTCTCTATTTCTTTGAGGGCTTCTCTTCCTCATTTCTTTTGATGAGGTCATTAACCCACAGATCTGTCACTAACCTTTTTCATTCTCCCCTTTGATTATCTTATCTATTCTTACAGGTCAATATTACCTCTATAGAATATCTCCCATATCTACAACAGCCTGAACCTCTTTCCTACATATGGGATCTATAATTCTAATACTGGCTAGTATAGTTTTACCAGGAAATTTCACAATCAGCCTGAGGGAGAGTGTAGCAAACTGAACTTGAACTATCCCCAAAACTTTCTTCCTCTCGGTTTCCCTTGGATAATAATATCCTCAGTTTCTAAACTGCAACAAGTGTGTTTACCTCTTGCCTTTCCCTCAGTTGCAATAATAACCCGATGCAAAGTTCTACTAAATATGTCTCTTAAATGACTCAAATTCACTTCACCATTTCAAACATTTTCATTGCCATAGTTTATGTTCATGGATATCTTGCTTTATCTGAATAATTTTCAAATATATCTCTAATTCCGTCAGAGAAGATGCCACATCTTATTAATTTCTGGATTCCCAGGCCTAGAGCAATTCCAGGATACAGATGAAAATATTTTTTATGAAAGAAAAAGGAGAAGGAGAAGAGAGAGCAGCTTTGACCATGACACACCTATGATTCAAGACTTTTTGATGAAATCCTGTCATCCACTGGATGAAGCCCAAAACCCTTTGTGTGCTTTCCAGGTCCCCACAGATTGAACTCGCACCTTGTTAGCTTTTTCTTTCATGTATCTTATACTCCAAACACAGGGGACACCACTTTCTCTTCTTTAAATAAAAACCCTGCATTTTACCACAACGATTACTCAATACTGAACCAATGACTTACATGTCCTTTGCTCTCTTCATCAAAATCCTGTATCTTCTTCAAGGTCCAGCCCAAAAAGCATCTCATTAATAAGACTTGCCTACATATTGTGTTAGAATCTACTTCTTCCTCTACACTCCATTAATACCTTGTACTTCTATTAGATACCAGAGGCCTTCAATCTTCCTTTATAAATAAGTTCCTTGAAGGTATGAAACATGTCTTATTCATTTGTGATTTCTTACAGAACCTAGCATATTGACCTTAATAAAAATGGCAGCCAAATTTTTAAGAAATTTAATCTGCTTAACAAATGAAGAAATTATACAGGTGGCATAATTTCATATACAACCTTGTACATTTCCTAAATTATACAATATACTCTTAGACTATAATTATAATAACGATCAAAACATAACTGTTTCTATCACTGGCATCTGTATTCTGAACACATTTGACTTGGAAAATACACTTTTATCTTTAGTTTATCAATTTTACTAAATATAGTCTCCTTTGGGGAAAACAAAGCATTCTCCTAATAAATGGGAATTCTGCACTCATTATCTACCTGTATTTAAGGTTCTAACAAATGCCTTTATCTCAGTATCTTATAGGACATGGCAGTGTAAGATGAACCAACATGACTTTGAAACTGATGAGACTTAATTTCAATTCCTGATGCCACCACTTACTAGCTGTGTTACTTTGAGATGGAACTTAATATACTTTAAACTTTTTTTTTTTTTTTTGGTCTGTACAGTGAGAGCAATGGCTTCTGCGTTGGGTGACTATTATAATTAAATGTTCCTGGGATCTAATAGCAGGTACTCAAAAAATGTGAGGTCCCCCCACTCCTTAATCCCATCTAAGAAACAACTTTCCTTCATTTGTTGCTTTTATTCAATAAAGCAACATTAAACTATGAAGTATCTTTTCAGCCATGTTAAAATTATGGCTCTCTTCCTCTAACACACACAAACCTGGTGGTGATTCCCCCAGGAATACCATCATAATCGTACCCAGGCATCTTTACCTTAACTTGAGGGTCAGCGAAAGTGACCACTTGTGAGCCATTAATTATGCTGGTTGTTATAAAGAGTAACGTTTTATCCACACCATTTAAGGTAACTGCTATTTGTGGCCTTCCATCAATGGTTAAAATTCTCCATAGATCCCACATTTTCTTGACCTTAAATCTCTGAGTGGAGACAAATACATATGATGGAGGAAGACCTTCGGGGAAAACATTGCTAGAAAAAGAAGAATGTGCATAAGCTTAAAGAATTCTCAACATGTCTACAGACATATATAAAAAAAGTTTGTATCAACACAAAACATATACCTTGTGAATTCTGATAAGTCAACTTTTGATGTCACTTCATATCCTTTTATCTTTGTTGGTGAAAGCAGGATTCTTTTCTTAACCTTTTTCTTTACACCCAAGCCTAAAAGAATATCAAACCCTTTCTCATCGCGAGCTGCCACTGGAATTCGTGTTGGACAGACAGATTCTATAAATTCAAAGCAAAAGCAGTAAACATTGATTAATCATGGATTACTTCAACAAGAAAATGAGAAATATTAGAGAAAATAATTATAAAATCTATATATGCACACAAATGTATATAACTGGATGTAAATGCATTTTCTGAGAAAACGTGCAGGAGTGTTTCTGACATTTGAAGTCTCAAATGTTATTTTCCCCCTAAAAGGGGATAAAAGTAAAACAGAATTAGAAAAGAAACATTTGTTAATAGATTGCTTTAAGAACACTATGCTGACATTTATAAATCACTATTTTGAACGTGGGGCAACTTAATACCTGCGGGGTAGAATACTGGAATGGCATTGATGATTCTCATCCAGGATTTACTATTAATTAGTCGCATAACTCTTAAATTTCTTGGATCTAAGAGATGTACTCTAAGATTCCTTTCTTGCATTCCCAGCATTTGAGGGGTAAAAAAATAAAAGTGTCATTCTTGATATTCTTTCCAGTTTTAGCAGATGATAATTCTATAATTCAAATATCATTGGTTCTATTACTCTGGAAAAAACTGTGAGTCTTTTCTGTTCATGAAAGTTCTTGAAATGGGCCTATTAGCTCATCTGTGATTAATTATATTATACTAATCATATTTATAAATAAAGACTATTTCCATAAGAATAATCATTAAAGGGCGCCTGGGTGGCTCAGTCAGTTATGCGTCTGCCTTCAGCTCAGGTCATGATCTCAGGGTCCTGAGATGGAGCCCAGCATTGGGCTCTCTGCTCAGCAGGGAGCCTGCTTCTCCCTCTCACTCTAACTCTGTGCTCTCTCTTGCTATCTCTCTCTTAAATAAACAAAAATATTTGGAAAAAAAAGAATTGTTAAGATTTGCATTATACAGTCATCTGTATAAATTATAAAAATATGGCATGCTTTTCACTTGCTTGGAAACTATTATCTGAAATTATGTGGCAAATTTTATATGGTTGAAATGATATTAAGCTAGTATATTATAGAAATGGTGCAATGTTTTCAGATTCTTCCAAGGCCTTCATATAATATATACATTGAGCATGACTGCTTACATTTTATAGAGCAGCTAACAAAATAAAACAAGAACAAACTCCACTAAACCTCTTTAAGATAATCACCCTCTTACACAACATTAAGAAGAGGGCATAGTACCATATTTATATTACAATAAAAAGTAATGAGATAGATTTTTATTAGCCCAATATGTACAGTCATAATTTATACCAAAGAATATTAGAAATAAAATAAAGGTTTGATATAAATAAAATTATAAGTATTCCTGGAAAAGGAGGGGCATTTTTCTCTTCAGGTCTTAAATCTTAAGTTTTGAAGTAACGCAATGAATTACATCCTTCTTCCTCTGGTAAGCTTGGAACTAAGTGTTGAGGAGATACAGGAATGAGGCAAACAGATGTTGGTTAGACATGTGATCCAGTGAGTTTGGTAGATGCACACCATAATGAACCACCTCACACCATCCCAGAAGCACAGGGCTGACTTATTCCCTATCCCACCTTAGAAGCAGGACCTGCCCACTAAGTTCACACCTGGTCTACAGAGGAAACCAAAACACACTAGCTCCACAGACACACTGATCCAAGGAGAAGACAGCTGAAGGCTCTTGGCCAACCATGTCCAGCTACTTTTATCACACTCACTTATCTAAAAACTGATTTTTCTCATTCAGTGGTAAGGAGCTAAAAAAGGGTGGGAGAGAGATCAGAAGAGTTAGCCTAGCTGAAATCCCTCCACATGAAAACATGAGAAGCAGGGTCTAAGTGTTTCTAATAACACTCTATTATACAGTTTAAATCATAAATCAATTAATAAAACTAAGTATTTTCTGTCATGATGCAGGGGTTCTTTTTGGCAGGCAGTTGGGGGGAAATATGCAGAACAACACATGAAGCCTCATGTCAGATGCATTTGATTTAAAACTGCAAAAGAAGTTCAGCTGAAAAGAAAACATTACATCATAAAAATATTCAGATTTGAATTGCTTTGATTTTCTTTACAAATGAGAAATTATAAGATGTTGGATTAAGACCTCAGACTTAAGACAAGAACACGAGGTTTAGACTGAAGCCTCTCTCTTAACCTCTCCTGAACCTCTGGATTCTCATCTGCGAAGGGAGAATAATGATGTCCTTCACAGGGTTTGTCTGAGGATCAAATACAATGATGTATGTGAAAGTGCTTTGTAACTCCAAAATGGCATGCAAGTGCAGGGGATAAAGCAAGCATTGTGTCCATCCTTTTGCTCTAACAAAGTCCTTTACACTATCTTGTAATACCCAAAATTTTATGGGGAAACAGTGTGGCTTGATTTGTGATTTCACAGCTTGTGAAATAAAAAATGTACAATATAGCCATGTTTTCATTACTACCTAAGCACATCTCATCAAGAAGTATAGATTTAAATAATGATGTTTACTTGAAGGTAATTTTTCTTCCCAATTCATTCACCTACAAGAACAGTACCTTAACACATGGGAAGTGAAAAAAATGTAGTTACAATGCTCAAATACAGATTTTATGTTTGTATATACCTAGCTATAGGAAAGAGCTAAAAGAAGTTTGCACAAACTTGAGGAAAGAGAGGTAAATAATTAATTTCCCCATTGTGTAGAAAAAATAAATATATGTTTAAGTATACAAACTACATCCAGACAAAAGTATGGAAACTGGAAATAAAAAGCGAAATGTGGAAACTATAATTTTAAGTACCAGGAAAATCAAATGCTAAGAGAGACTCAGTTGGGAGCTTGTTATAATACTTACAACACGTAATTAGAATAATCCAGATAAACCAAGTTATTTTAAAGGAATGCATTCAGGAGCAAGGGTAAACAAAACAGAAGACTGAAGTTCACAATTTCTATACCATCTACACAGTTTTAACTTAATTTTATTCCAATATGTTCAGAATATTCAGGATAGGAATGCCTTCTCAGAGGAGCAAAGGTTACTCTATTTATTTTAAACCCTGGGAACCAGTAATACCTGCTTTTTAGTTCGGATGATTTATTTTTGCTTTTGTTTCCCTTGCCTTGGGAGGTAAGAAATATCTAGAAAAATGTTGCCATGGCTAAAAATCACTGCCTGTGATCTCTTCTAGGATTTTTATGGTTTCAAGTTTCACATTTAGGTCTTTAATCCACTTTCAGTTTATTTTAGAATGGGAGAAGATATTTGCAAATGACATATACAATAAGAGGGGTTAATATCCAAAACACATAAAGAACTTAAAACTCAATACCAAAGAAACAAACAATCCAATTAAAAATATAGAAGACACGAATAGACATTTTTCCAAAGAAGACATAGACATACAAAAAGATGCTCAATATCACTAATCATCAGGGAGAGACAAATCAAAACCACAATGAGATATCACCTTACACCCGTCAGGATGACTAAAATCAAAAAGACAAGAAAAAACAAGTGTTGGCAAGGATGAGGGAAAAAAGGAACCCTTATGCACTGCTGGTAGGTATGTAAATTGGTGCAGCCACTGTGGAAAACAGTATGGAGGTTCCTCAAAATATTAAAAATAAAAATGCCATATGACCCAATAATTCTACTATTAGGTAGTTACCCCCCCCAAAAAAACAAAAGCACTAATTCAAAAAGATATATATACCCCTATGTTTGTTGCAGCATTGTTTATAATAGCCAAGATATGGAAGCAACCAAAATGTCCACTGAAAGACAAATGCATATACACATATACAATGGAATTTATACAGCCATAAAAAAGAATGAGACTTAAAAAAAAAAAAAAAAAAGGATTCGATCGCGCCATTTGCAACAACATAGATAAACCTAAAAGGGAGTATGCTAAGTGAACTAATACAAAGACAGACAAATACCGTATGATTTCACACACATGTGGAATCTTAAAAAAAAAAAAAACCCAAAGGAATAAACAAACAAACAAAAAGCAGAATCAGGCCTATAAATACAGAAGACAAATTGATGACTGCCAGAGGGGAGAAAGGTAGGGGGATGGGCAATATAGGTGAAGGGAAGTGGGAGATAAAGTTAATGAAATTTTAATAGTATCATATGATGGCAGATGATAGATACACTTGCAGTGAGCATACCATAATGCGTAAAATTGTTGAATCACTATGTTGTGCACCTGAAACTAAGGTAACAGTATATGTCAACTATATTCAAAGAAATTTTTTTAAGTTAAGTGATCCATAGAACCCAGAAAAAAATATTCACTTTTCTATTAATTCTCAGGGCTTAGTAATATAAGTAATCCAGTATTACCAAGGTCATAAAAACATGTTTTATTTAAAATTCTGCCATGGACACAGACACAAAGACTGTATAAATCTTTAGTCTAACTAGAGCAACCAAATTCCAACTACACCTTTCCAGCTCTAAGTTAATATCACAGGAACACTGATGAACACATTATTCTAGAACATATATAGCCTACTTTATAAGTGTCCATTTAATTCAATTCCACATTGCCACATTGTTCGTATATCACCTCTCTCCAGATGTCATCTGGTTTTTTTTTCAGATCAAGGGAATTCTATCAAGGAGATCTGTGGTCAGAAACCAAAAGTAATTTTACTGATCCAGACCTGATAGTCCAATCAAACAGAGTTGACTGGTGCAGATCTGTGCAAGCCAACTTCTTCAAACTTTCCTGGATTGACCTTGGTTTTGATGGTAAGGCAAACATGAGTGCATGTCCAATTGATACATACCCCTCAATGGTATTCAGTGGCAATTTAATACATCTGCCTTACTGAAGGTAAGGTAACTGAAGGTAATATTTATCATCATGTACTTTAATGTCATGCACAAGTTCATCAAAAGGAGGAACAGTCACCATTGTTCCAATTTAGTACCAAGGTTGTGATAACTTAGACTTCATCATAACATACTGAAAATACAATAAAATAAAACCAAAATAAATTATGGAAACAGAGATACTCTCACCAAAGATTAAATAACAAAGAAAGT